GTAGCCCCAGCTAGCCCTGAAACTCACTATGCAGACCAGACTGGCCTCAATCTCACAAAGATCCACCTGCCTCTGCCTCCTGATGCTGGGATTAAAGGCATACACTACCTCACCCAGCTAAAAATTCAGATTTTAATAATGACAAATAAAAAGTCCTATTTGTGAATAAAAATAAGATTAAGATTCAAATAGAGTTCTGTTCTTAATCCAATCTTTAGTTTCCTTATCTGCAAAAGTGAGAGTAACAGTATAAATCACAGAATCATAGTGAAGAGTAACTGATCTAATTAATGAAAAACACCCAACACAGGTATTCAATTTCTTGGTATTCAATTTCTTCTCAATAAATATTACTGTTACTATTAAAGTACTCTGCACCTGGGGTCTTCTATTATTCAAGGATACAAACTTTTCCCTATTTTGAAATCTTAAATTTCTATTTCTTTGGGAGTTTTTGTTTTTGCAAGAGTCTCACTCTGTAGCACAGGTTGACCTGGAACGTGCCATGTAGCACAGGCTGGCCCTTTTAGTTGTGCTCATCCTTCTGCCTCCCAAGTGCTAGGATTATAGTTATGAGTACCACATCAAGTTTACTTTCTATGGTTTTTTTTGTTTGTTTGTTTTTTGTTTTGTTTTTTGGTATTCTGAGACAGAGACCCCCTACAGTCCCAGGTGTCCTAGAATTCACTATGTAGCTCAGTCTAGCCTCAAATTCAGAGATCCACCTTCCTCTGCCTCCCAAGTGCTTCAGATTAAAGGCATGCACCACCACTCCAGGCCTTTACTTTCTATTTCTTTTATAGCACTTAATTTACTGTTTACTACTCTATATGGAAGACTACTCTATATGGGAGAGAGCAACTAAAATAGTTTATGCATAGTTGGATATCAATAAACATTCACTCTGTTGTACAGGATATTCAAAGTGAGTTAAATGAAGATGTGCAGGTAAAAGAAAAGTTTGGTATTAAAAAAGCAATCACTGTTTTAGGAAACTCAAACCATATTACACTACAGTTCTTGTAACATATTCAAAACACTTTCACAAATTAACATTACAAGTAATGACCCAAATTCTTCATGTCTAGGTTGTGCTAAGACATCATGCCACACCTGTGATATTGCTGATAGACATGCAAACCGTAAACCTTTACAAGAAGCAAGCTGAGGCTGGGTATAGCTTAGTGAAAGCATATGCAACCTAGAGATCCAAAGAATAAACATCAGAAAAACCCAAATTAAAAGACATTTTACAAAGTGAATGAGCTAAACTCTTCACAAATGTTTAAATCAGGGGCTGGAGAGATGGCTCAGAAGTTATGAGTACTTGCTGCTCTTCCAGAGGGACCTGAGTTCAGTTCCTGTCAGGAGGGTCATGACTCTGTAACTCCAGGTCCAGGGAATTCAATGCCCACTTCTGACCTTGGCAGGCATCTGCACATACAAAGCGCACACACGCACGCATGCGCGCACTCATGCCAGACAAAAAAAGTAATAAAAATAATTCTTTTTAAAGTTAAAATCAACGAAGACTGAAAATCTGTTCAAAATTAAAGGAAGCTAAAGAGTCATGACAATGTAAATGTTAACAAAGCTCCTGGACCAACCTTTTTCTTTCATTATAAAGAACATTAGTAGATCAATTTGAAAGATAGAATAAAGTTTGGAAATTAAATAACAGTACTTTTCCAACATTAGTTTCCTGCTTTTGATCACTGGTATGGTAGTTATGTAAGAGAACTTTAAATTACTTTAGGAAGTCCACACTTAAGTATTCAAAGTCAAAGGCAAGCTTAATTAAACTCAAAAGGGTTTAAGAAAAAATTAAACATGGAAAAATATAAAGAAAGGAATAAAACTCTCAAGCAAAATGGTAAGAGAACAAAATCTAAGTGAAACTACAAGAATTGGATATTTCCATAAATCTAAGGAGAGAAACAGAAAGAACAAATAATCACGAAAAACTACTATCACTGGCAATTAGAAAAATGCAAATTAAAACTAAAACGAGACATCACTAAAACCCTACAAAAATGATGCGATAGAGAAGAGATAGCAGTATCAAGTGCTAACAAGACTATGAGGTACCTGAAACTCTCAAATATTCATGGAAAATAGCAGAGCACTTTCAAAAACTTTCCAACTTATTTTTCAGAGTTAAACATACTTAGCCTACCTAAGCAATCATAAGTACTAAGCTAAGAAAAATTAAACATATTCACAGAAACATGTCCGCAAATGTGTGTAACTGATTTATTTACTGTACTAGTTACTTTTCTGTTACTTTGATAATAAACACCATGACCAGGGAACTTAGAAAAAGAAGAGTTTATTTAGCTTAGGGTTCCAAAAGGGCAGAGGCAGTCCATCATGGCGGGGAGGCATGGCAGCAGAGGTGGCTGGAGGAGGAGCGGAAACTAAGCTCTCACATTATTACGCAGGCACAGGAAACAAAAGGGCAACTCAAGATCCAGCAAGGTTTAAGAACTCTCTAAGCCCACCCTCAGTGACATTTCCTCCAGCATAGCCACACCTTCTAAGACCTCCCAAAAACAGCATCACCAACTGGAGACAAAATGTCCAAATACTTGGAGCCTATGGGGAACATTCTCATTCAATCCATCACATTTACCAAACAATGAAAGCTTCAAATAAATAAACTATGGTATATCTATATAATAAAATATTCATCAATAAAAGGGGATAGATTATTGGTACACGCAAGAATATAGATGAACGCCAAAAGTATTATGCTAGATTTTTTTTATAAAAAGTAGTCTTGGCGTGGTGGTGCACACCTTTAGTCCCAGCACTTGGGAGGCAGAGGAAGGCGGATCTTTGTGAATTCAAGGCCAGCCTGGTCTACATAGTGAGTTCAGGTCAGCTGGGACTACAGGGAGATGCCGTCTCAAAAAGACCAAAAAAAAAAAAAAAAGTAGTCTCAAAGACTCCACCGTACCTTATTCCACATATCCATGGCATTCTGTAGAAAGTGAAATATGAGAATGACAATAGATCAGTGGCTAGCAGGGGTAGAGTTAAGGAGAAGAAAGGTTAACTAAAACCAGGCAGAAAAGTTAGACATGGTGGCACATGTCTATAATCAAAGTCCTTGGAAGGCAGAAGAAGGAAGATCACCACCAATTCAAGGCTGGCAGACTAGACCTATATAGTGAGACCCCCGTCTCAAAAATCAAGCAGCAAGATAAAATTTGGAATGATGTTGTAGCCCCATTGATCATCAAAAAAATCATTAAAACTTGGGGTTAGAGGAGCTAGAGAGATGAATCAGTGGTTAAGAGCACTGGCAGCTCTTGCAGAGGACCTAGGTTTGATTCCCAGCACCCACATGGTAGCTAACAACCATTTGTAAAAGGGGAATCCAACACCCTCTTCTGACCTCCATGGGCACTGCAGAACACGGATGCACTCATACACATCCAGGTAATACACTCATACACATAAAAAAAAATTAAAATAATAATACAATTTTTTTGGTCTTTTTGAGACAGGGTCTCCCTGTAGCCCCAGCTGTCCTGGAACTCACTATGTAGACCAGGCTGGCCTTGAACTCACAGAGATCCGCCTGCCTCTGCCTCCCGAGTGCTGGGATTAAAGGTGTGCACCACTACGGCTGGCCCAATAATACAATTTTTTTTAATGTTTTATTATTTTTATGTGTATGAGTATATTATTGCCTGCATGTGTGTGAGTGCACCCATGTCATGCAATGCTGCGGAGGTCAGAAGGGGGTGTCAGGTTCCCCTGGAACTGGAGTTAAGGACAGTTCGTAGCCACCATGTGGGTGCTGGGAATCAAACCTGGGTCCTCTGCAAGAGCAGTCAGCTCTTAAGTGCTGTGCCATCTCTCCAGCCCCAAAATAATAATACAATTTTTTAGAAAGGAGGTTGGAGAGATGACTCAGTGGATAAGAGTGCTTGCTATGTAAACACAGGACCTAAGTTCAAATCCCCAGCACCCACATAAAATTCTGGACATAGTCATGTACCTATAACCCCAGGACTGTGGGGGGTAGAGATAGGAGGATCAAAGTTTAGTGAGATACCATGTCTCTACAAGGGAATAAGGCAGAGAATGACAGAGCAAGACATCCAGCATCCTCCTCCATCCTCCTCACATGGACACAGGCTCATGTACACACACATATGCACACAAGCACATGCATGCATACGTCTTAGAACTCTCAACTTTACAACACATCATTTCTCTTAATAAATTACATTCACAAAGAAAAAAGTACTTCCATGAATATTTCATTTTATTCTCACCCAAATAACAAAAACCAGGTAGATACAGGACAATGACTCTCATCTTATGAGAAAATGGAAGCATACAGCAAGTAAATAATCACACAAATTATATGTGGCAGGGCCAAAACTGGAGTCTAGATATACCAATTCTATTTGAAGGCTTTATTCTCTTAATTTTCTCATGTTTCACTCAATTTTATGAGACAAAAATGTCCCTAAAAAACAAAAGGGTAAACACAAGCAAATAAAGAGGGGGATGCTACTAGAAGAGTGTCACTTAAAATGTGGCTGTGTTCCTTAAGGAACTTAAAAAGTCTCTAACTGAAGAAATCTGAAAAATGATCCATACAGGCAACAAATTAACTGGCATCATGGGATTAGTGGATGATTTCTTCCAAAAAACCTTCTTAATACACAAAAAGCAAGCATTAACCTTTCACAGATAACCTCATAGCTATTGCTGCAATTCAAGCTCTGCCTGATCTTCAGAACCTCATTGAGAACAGGGTGACTACAATGCAGAACACATTTTGCAACAAACATCTAGTCCTAAACACTACCACCACTGATGGGTAGAAAACAAGACTGAAACCTTTAAAAATAGCTTTTCAGTTTCAGAATCAAAGAAATGGTAGTACAATATTTGACAAAGACACATTCTATAACATTTCTCTAACAAAAAATAAATAATAAAAACATACATCTGTACCGAAAACAAGCATACATCACCTACAAACAAGGGCGTGTTTTCTTCTAAAGTAGTTGCATTAGGATCTGCCCCAGCTTCCAGAAGAATCTGTGCAATCTTCCAATGTCCTTGACTTGCAGCAAGATGTAATGCAGAAAAGCCCTCAAAAGTCTTTGTCTGAATATAGTTTTCAGATGAGTCTGTGGAAGAAAGAAAATCCATCAACCAGATGATTGTTACTGCTATTTCCTGGGCTTGAAAAGCAATGATTGTAAGAGGAATTTAATAGAAATTAGAATATAAGGGAATCAAGGAAAAGCTTTGTAAGGCTCCCGGTGTCAACAGCCCTTTGGCATTCTCGCCACATGAACAAGTTGTTCACTCTAGTTGTTCCTTCTCTAATTTTTAGTGGAGGGGAAGACAGTAGTGGCAGGAATTGAAAGGCAACCCAAAAATCAAGATTTGAGGTAAATACAGCACCAAAGACTGACTTTAACAAGGTTTACTGAAGCAGGGGCTAGAGAGAGAGATGGCTCAGGGGTTATGAGCACTGGCAGTCTTATAGAGGATCTAGGTTCAGTTCCTACCACTCACACAGAGGCTCACACCATCTGTAACTCCAGTTCCAAGAGTTCTAACCCAGTCTTCCAGGCTCCATAAGCACAAGGCACATATGTGATGCACATATATACAGACAAACCAACACTCAAAACACATAAAATAAAACTAAATAAATCTTTTCTGAAAAATGAAAGCCAGGCATGGTAGCACACATGATGGCCTCTGGAGGCAAAGGAAGGCAGATCTCTGTGAGACTGAAGCCAGCCTGGTCTACATACCAAGTTCCAGACCAACTGGGGATACTGGGAAAGCCTGTCTCACAAAGACCAAAAACAACAAAATTAAATTAATAAAAATTTAAAAAGATTTACTGAAATGGAAAGAAATTACCTTATTTCTAGCATTACTTTCTTATATTCAACTAATAAAGCAATTTTAAAGCCTCCTTTTCATTTTTTATACATGTCATTTGCTGGGAGGGGAATGAATGTGCACATATGTACCTGTGTGTGTAGTGTTCCAAGGACAACCTCAGGCGTCATCCTCAGAATCACCACCCACCTCCTTTGAGGCAGTCTCTCATTGGCCTCAAGTTCACCATTGGCTAGACAAGCTGGTCAACAAGTCCAAGGACCCTTCTGTCTCTACCTCTGCAGCACTACTATGTAGTTCAGTTTTACATCGGTTCTGTGATGTAAACTCAGGTCCTTATGCTTGCAACAAGCATTTTATTGACTGAGTTATCTCCCCAGTCTGTAAACAGTCCTTTTCTAACTTGGGACTATAGTTTAATAGTTAATGAAAAGGAAAGAAAAATGCACAGAAACCACCCAATTCATAAGAAATTTATGAGCTAATTTAAGGAATATACTTATGATGGAAAGCTGAATGTTGTGTTAACATCCAAATTATGTAGATAACATCTATATTAAAATATTTTAAATTTCACAGCAATAATATTTAGTTTCTCTTTGCCTATGCCTTCATAAACAGTAAAATTCTAAGTCCTTAGACTCTAAGGTGAATGGTGAAGGCATTTCTGAAAGTAGTAATATGCAAAACAAACTTCTAAAAACATATTCTTGAAAGACTAGAATTGAAACTAAATCTCCTGACTAAAATAACCATCTATTTTAAGTAATTCTTGTAATTGTAACTCAGTGATGAAATAGACAGTCTAAGCCATAATATTCAAAAAGCAGCTTACAGAATAAACAACTAAATGACTAGCTAGATGAAGCCATTATTTTAAAAGTGCGTCACCACAGGTTGGCGAGATGGCTCAGTAGATAAGAGCACAGGCTGTTCTTGCAGAAGGCCTGAATTTGAATCCCAGCACCCACATGGCAGTTAACAACCATCTGTAACTCCAGTTCCAGGGGATCCAATGCCCTCTTCTGTCCTCCGACGGCACTGCATGACACGGGTCTACTTACATACATGCAGGCATAACACTCATACATATAAAATAAAAAATAAGTAATTTTTTAAAAGATGCCTTATCATAGAAACTGTGTTTCAGAGATGAATCAGAAAAGGATCTGTGCTGCATAGCTTTAGTGTCAACTTGACACACCTGGGTTGAGGGAGCCTCAATTGGGGAATTGCCCCCATAGGACTGGCCTGTGGCCATGTCTGTGGGGCATCTTCTTGATTGTTGAGTGAGGTGGGAGGGCCCAGCCCAGTGTGGGTGGTGCCACCCCTAGGCAGGCGGGCCTGTGTTGCATAAGAAAGCAGGCTGAGCAGGGGCCAGGGGAGCAAACCAGTAAGCAGCATTCCTCCATGGCCTGTGCTCCAGCTCCTGCCTCCAGGTTCTTACCCTGAGTTCCTACCTTGGGCTCCCTGATGAAGTGTGACCTGGGATATGTAAGCTAAATAAACCCTTTCCTCCCCAAGTTGGTAGTAGTCAGAGTATTTTGTCACAGCAATGGAGAAACAAGCTAGAACAAGATCCCTACTCAGATCAGTTTTTCATTCAGTACTCCAGGTATTAACCTTATAGTCTTATGGTTATAAACGACACAAAGACACAGATACACCGTATATAACTGACAGAGGTAGAAAATTCCTCCAGTAGTACCCAGCCCCAAGATCTTGGTTTTGGACATCATTCTCCAACAAAAGAAACCAACAGTCTCAGCCAGGCTTGGTGCACCCATGTCATGAAACACATGCAGAGGTCAGAAGAGGGCATCAGATCCCCTGGAACTGGAGTTACAGATAGTTCTTAGCTGCCATGTGGATGCTGGGAATTGAACCCAGGTCCTCTCCAAGAGCAGTCAGTGCTCTTAACCACCGAGTCATCTCTCCAGCCCCAGGCCCACTCTTTTTGTTATTGTTTTTGGTTTATGGATTTTTTTGAAACAGGGCCTCCCTGTATCCCCAGTTAGCCTGGAATTTGCTTTGTAGACTAGGCTGGCCTGGATCTTACAGAGATCTGCCTGCCTCTCCTCCACATGCTGGGATTAAAGGGTGCCCAGTAGGGCCCACTCTTAAAAACTAAAGTTAAAAGTCAGGCTGTTTATCCCAGTATAACTAATGTTGGCAGAGTAACTCATATAGCCCCAGTGACATTCTTCCTCTAGCAAAGCTGCACCTCCTAAAACTCCCCAAACAGCTCCACCAGTTGGAGAGTATTCAAATACCTAGTGGGGAAGGGGGGATTCTCATTCAAACCACCACAAATGGTGACTTGGATAAAATTTTTTATTAAAAAGAAAAAAAAACCCTAATTAGTCAGGAAGTAACATTAGAGTTAAGAGATATGGAATTAGAAGAGTTACGTGGCAATCCTGACTTTGCCAATTACTCTGCAAATTACTTAAACTCTTTATGGTTCAAGTTTAAAAATCATGGAACAAGCGTAAACATTTAACTGGCCTAATCTTCAGTGTGATTCAATAGAATTATGATTATAACTTGAATTTTTATAAAACAAATGCAAGTAGATATGTAATTATTACAATATTTATATACTATAGGAGTTGCTATAAATTTGGCAAAGCATCATTTTAAGAATGTTTTCAGAGCCAGTGAGATGGCTTAGTGGGTAAAAGCACTCGCCATACAAGCTTGGTAACCTGAGTTTGGTCCCTGGAACCCATGTTAAGGTGGAAGGAGAGAAACAACTTCACAAAATCATCTTCCACACATGCCCCCACCCCCCTTCTCCTCTCTTTAGTGGGTAAAGGGGCTTGCTGTCAAGTCTGACGATCCAAATTTCCTCTCTAGAGCCTTCATGGTGGAAGGAGAACTGACTCCTTCAAGTTGTCCTCTGACCTTCACATATGCACAATGGCACGCACACACACACACACACACACACACACACACACACACTGGTAGTAATAATAATAATTTTTTTAATGTTTTAAAAAGAAAGTTTCAGACAGGCATGCTAGTGCACACCTGTAATTCCAGTAAGCTAAGGCAGGAGGACTACAGAATGAGTCCAAAGGAAGAAAATGGGGCGGGGGGTTAATACCCATCCAAATTGGTTTTAGAATTTCCAATGATAACTGCCTTCCTTAAACTGATGTATGAGTTTTACCAAAGGGAAACTCTTGTACCGACTATGTCACCAACTATCTTTCTTCCACTCCTGACAGGCGGGCTACTTGAAGAAAATGGTTCATACTAGGTTTTTAATGTCTTAGCCTCTGCTCCTTTTCCTCAGAAGGTAAAGCCGTTACCGTGTCTAATGTACTTACAAAACTTGAAATGAGAGGCATGAAAGACTTCCTAATGGATAACACTGTGAGAGCATCCGGTCTTTGATAAGTTGAGATCTTGTTTACATTTGGGTGTTAGGGCCATGTAAGCTGTGCCTGTGCCAACCATCTGTGCAGCTGTGACAAGAATAGGGTGGGATACTCCCTGGACACCACACCCTATGTCTGCTGACACAAAGTATACTTTTATTTCTAAATAATGAACTGGCCTATTATAATTATGATAGATAGTAAAGTGTTATGTTGCTTTTCACTAACCACTAAGAGTTAAAACAAAAACCACATGGTTTTCGGCAGGAAAACAGGTTAAAAATTGAGTATAGAACTGTATCTCAATAAAATTCTATCTCAATAGAATTTAGTGAGGCCAAACAAATCTCAAATGTGCTGATCACAAAGGTGAAAAACGTCTGTACCAGATTATAATAACATCAAGCCTTTATCAAAGGAAAACAACTCTCCCCTCATAGGGAGTAAGAGATAATTTACTTTGAGCTAAGTATGAATGACCACAGCCTGGAAACATGGATTCAGGTTGCCTTGAGTTACATATTCCAATAGATAAGCAGTTACATAAACTTCTATAGTAACAGATAAAAAGCACATCACAAATCAAGGCATTTTCCAAAACAGTGGTAGGAAACATCAAGTATATATATATATTACAGCAAAGAGGAAGACTCTACTATAAATTTTGTACGTTAACTGATAACATCCTTAGCTTTGCAGAATTGTAATCCTCAAGTATAAACAAGAACTCACAAGTTTTATCAGAGACCAGATATATTCACAGCTTTGATGGAAGCTAATAGTCTATTACTAAATTAATATACCCAAAAGTTTCATCTAATAGCAGAAAAGATGTTAGCTCAGGTACAGAGGTGGGTGGCAGATAGATATTAAGGAGA